AAAAAAAAAAAAAAAAAAAAAAAAAAAAAAAAAAAAAAAAAAAAAAACTTTATTACTTCTCTTTACTATAAACTGAAGTAATAGGAAGAGACGAGACGGATAGGTGGGAAAAAATGGAAAATAAACATTTAAATAAAAATTGTCTAAATAACGAATCACAGCAGTTGAATTATAAACTAAATAATTCTTCTTTTTTTTTTTGTTTTTTTTTTTTTTGTTTTATATAGACATTTAAATACGCATACACATAAGTATGCATATGTTAGTTGTAACAAAATAACTTTGGATTAATTTCCACATTAATGCGCTTAAGCAGGGCTATTGTTCGTTTGACGGTTCATTATGGCAACTAGCGCCAGTTGGGCTTTCTAAGGGTTGTATATTATTAGTAGCAGCGGTAGTGATAGCCGTTTTACGCAAATGATTGCGCAGCATGACAAGATTACGGTTTGTTGGCAAGCCCGTTGCTGATGATGACGACGATGATGATGTGGCAAAACCGCCAACATTGCTGGCAGCAGCAGAATTATTAGCATTAGAACAGACGGCCGTTGTCGAGCATGGTACATGCGGTAAAGTATTGCAAGCGTTCTCTTCGTCATCTCTTGTCAACGTTAAATAATTACCGGTATTGCTGCAGCCAGCTAAGCCGGCCGAAGCTATTGAGGTGGTAGGCGAAGTGGCTCCGTAATGCGTAGCAGCACTGGTTGGCAGTGAAAAATTCACGCCCAACATTAATTCACGTGCTAATATGGTGGGTAAATGTTAAGTGCTATTTTTCATGGGACCCGACGACAATGAACTGCTGCTAACACCCGAATCACTGGACTTTTCACTTAAACCGCCCCCTCGAGTAAGAGTATCATCAGCGATTAGACTTGCACCTAGCAACGATTTTTTACCGACACGTGTCGTTAAAGCCACGCTGCTGCTTTTAAAAGGATTATCTTTTTGCTTTCTAGCGCTTTCCACACGTTTCATTATCTCACTCGAGCATTTGGTAACAACATCATCTAAACTATTGCTTTCATCTGTCGAAACCCCTAATGTTTGCGTCGGCGTTTGTGATAGCGGCACAGGTGATCCCTCATAGCAACCCGAATCACGTGGAAAATGTCGACGCCCGAATGGTGAGGTACCATGTTTCTTGTTGATATTATTTAAACGAGCCTCATCATTCTCCGAACTAGATCCGGCTATATCACCGTCAGAGCCTGTTTGTGGGAAATTCGTAGCTAAACACACAAAACGAAAATTAGTTTCAGCTGGAAGGAGGGAAAATAGGATCGGTTTCGTGGATAAAAATTTATATCAATTTTGTATATTTGTATTTGTATTATTAAGGGTTTGTTAAGGGTTAACTTACATTCGATATCGTGTAACAGTTGTACAGCTGTTAACAATTTGGCACGATGTTCTGGATTTACAATACCCAAATAATCCAAATCGGCTGGTTCCAATTCTTTAAACAGTTCGAGATCTTCATAACTTTAAAAATAAGAGCAAAAAGAATAGAAATTAAAGCGAAATTTTGAGGTTAAGTTACGCCAACAATTACACAAATCGAATACTTTAACTTAAGTGTAGCTTTTCGTATAATCTGATGACTGCCTTTTTAAACAATAGCAAAAGTTTCTTGAAGTACATCTTAATTATACCAAATGTTATTCAATAAGTCGGGATAAGACGATGATTCTTAACAAAGTATATGTTGTCACAATCAACAATTTTTTAAGCTGAAATAGACACTTTCTTCTTATGTTCCACTTTACTCTAATGCGCACTATACAAAAATTTATAGAGATCAAGAGACCATTTGTAATATGAGAATGAATGTAGAGATGTGCAAGCAGATAGGAAGAACCATATGAACTATTCCAATCTATTCATTAATTTTACGAATCCTTTCATCAAACTTGACATTGAAATGTCGATAGACGATAAAGCGACCTAACAACAAACATTGTTTCCTTTCTCCGCAAATCGCTCTTTATACAAGTTATGCATATACAAGTTTTCTAGGACTGTAGGGCTGTATAAGGCGTCGATTTTCATGCAGGAAAGGAAGGTTGCTGCCAGGATAGCCCTAGTTCCCTGAGTTTCTCACTAGTTATTGTACGATACGTTTCTCAGTAATGTTACCAATGAGACAAAACCAATAGAAGAATATGTCACTTCTCTTAGAGAGACGATCCTTGCTTAACAGCGCGCCCCCCTTCATGTCGCATGACTTGGAATGAAAACCTTGGCCAAAACATAATAATATCTTCAACTATTCGCGCAGCAAATTTTAAAATATTCAGCTTCTGAAATAAACGGACTTGTTATTATAATACTGAATTAAATATTAAGGAGATTTGTAAAATTATATCAAGTATTTATGAGAGAAGACGGCTCCCGAAGGATTAACCTTCACAACTTATTTGTTGGCGACTGAGCCTATGCCTAAACCATCATCTAAAACTCTGGTAGATATATTTTCCTAATTAAATTTATGTTTGCGGAGATGTTGACAATACGGCAATGCGGTCCTCAATAGAATGAAAGTTGAAAAGCATGCTGTCGTGCACGAGAAGAATGCCGTCAGTTAAAGAGATTTCGAGGAGATGCATGTCGATCAAATTGGACTTTTAATCGCCCAAAATTGACGCAATAGATTGGGAATAATCTCAAGGAAACGCAACGTGGACGAACGTTTGCTGCTTCTCGACAATAACAAATATCGTGCAAATTAAGATGCGATTGAGATACAATGATTACGAAGATCAGATCAGATAACCCCAGCAACAAGCAAGGATTTGCTTGTTTGGGTTGCTTTAGTCTGTGATTCACTAATAATATCGAACAAACCATGGTTTTACGTAGCTTCAATCAGCATTTGATTATTACACAGGTGAAGGTAAATCATAAAGCGATTAAAGTTTTCAAGCAGCCGCAAATAATGTTAATCAGTTTTGCTGGGCGATTGCTATTTGATGACAATAGAAATCGAACATGTTGCGTAAAAGCCAAAAAAAAAAAAAAATTCTTTTGAAATATGTAAAGACAACCCATTAATGAACAATAAATAGAAGGCATGCATTAACTCAGTGCTTCGGGAAGTTATATCTATCTTCCATATAGTTGAGTATAAAAAAATTTTAAAATTTATTACTTTGTCCTTTGAACATTGCTTCTCACCTACGTTTTTCTTATTAACATAATTGACAAGAAACAATTTTTGTTATATATTATTATATGTAGTAAAGCAAACACTGTTACTTATCCCAAAGGTCAGGCATTATTGTTATCGTGACACCTATAGTCTGTTAATCATGAACATTATTTGTTTGTTTATTACATTTCCTAGCAAACAATGCATTTCATACAACCACAATGACAATACGAAGTTTTAATTAACAAAGAGAAAAAAAAAAAAGAGAGAAAATAATAATAGTTTTGGTCGTTTGTTTTTCGTGCCTGATCAATGTTTACGCGGACATTAAAACATAAAAGTTACACTCACCCATTCAGTATGAAAACGGATGTGTATTCCTTGAGGCCAATACGCATAAGTAAATCCTCTACTGAATGCGGACCATTGCTAGTCATATGACGCGCGCTACCACCAACACCACCAATAATGCCGCCGCCGCCGCCTACAGTAATACCAACACCTGCACCGGCAATCGACTTACCTACGACTGTAGGTAAACCTTTACTGTGCGAATGTTTTAAACGTTGTTCCGGTATCACTTCAACATTGATGAATTTAAAGTGGCCCAAACGACCGTGACAGCGACCCTTCCATACGCCAGAAGCGTTCATTGACAATACATCGATAATATCACCTTTCTGTGCGCGAATGGCAGAAGTAAAAAAGAGCACAAAAAAAAAAAAAAAAAAGAAACGAGAGAAAAAAAAAACACAAATTTGCTATAAATTATACGAGCAAATGCCAAACGAACAAGTGTATGTCAGCAAGTACGCGAGTGTAAGTGAGTTTAAAAATGTATAGCGAAGAGGAAAATTAAGTTTTTTTTTTTTTTTTTTGTTTTCCACTCTCTCTTTACTTTTTTTAAACAACACAATTCATCATAAACTCAATGATGCCTGACGATGCAAAGTTCAAAGCGTATAATGTGCAAAACCTTAAGAATGCAATTGCTTTGAATTCAAGTAGGATTTAAGTAAAGAGTGAAGGAAGGCGAAGAAGAAGTGTCAGAATGAGAGCGTGAGCGAGAGCGAGAGGAAGAGAGATTGTGTGTGTCATATAATGTGATTTCGTTTACGGTGGAGTTTACCTTAAATTTTAGTGCGTCTTTGTCATACGGGTTTGGCATGCTGTCAACGAGAGCCTTCGCTTTGCATATTGATGCTGCCAACGAGGCACGATCATCGGTGGATATGGAGCTTTGTGGACTTCCTGGACGTACTAAAGCCTGAGTGCCTGAAATAATGTTGAAAATTTAATTTGTTTTTTTTTTTTTTTTTTTTTTTCCTTCTTATTTTAAGAAACATGCTTGAAAAATTTTTTCGAATATTTTTTAATTAATTTTGTGCAATAAACAGGAGAAGAAAAAAAAAAAAAAGATGAAAAAAGAACTAATTTTCATCAATTTTGCAAAAAACAAAAAAACTAAAGGGAAAGTTAAAGGCATTTTTGTTTTTTTTTTTCTTCTTCTTCTTTTTTTGGTTGTCGCACAAACTTAACTATTATTATTGCTGTTGTTGTTGCATTGTTGTTTTAGGGGATTTTTCATAGAAAATACTTGAAACAAACTTTTGTTCATTAATCGAGTTTTACAAAGAGCAGCAAACAAACAACTGCTTACATACCAAAAATATTTCTGAAACTCGTTCTAACCCTAAGTAAAACAGGCTAAAGAGCAAAAAAAAAAAAAAAAAAAAAATACGCTACTCTTCGAAAGTCTAGATAGTTCTACATTAACATTACAAAAGTGTACGAATGTACATAATGCATAAACACACATATGAATTTTAAGATTTGCAAAAACAGGGCTCGCGCGTGTGTGTGTAAGCGTGTTTTATGCAGAAGGACCTTTATGTATATTTAGGAAAATAAGCAGAGGTTTTCCGGTTTCATATTCAGCAAACTGTGTGATATGCAGAATATTACAAAAGAACAACAACAATAGCAACAAGTAAATGTTTCTGTATGTTTGCAACAGACAAATACGCTTGCAAGTATTTTGTTGATTACATACGCTATTGATGTTTTTTAGAAGGAGATGCATGGTCATGTGACGGCGTTAGTGGCAGTAGCATTAGTAGTAGTAGTATTGGGTGTAGAGAGTTGATAACATTCCGGAAGCATATTAAAAATTCATTAAGTTTTCAAAATTTCCACAGTTTAACCAAAAACCCAGTTAAAACAACACTGCAACAACAGCAACCAACAGGCGTATTACGCTATGCGGTCCAAGCACCCAAACAATTCAAATCCTCTCAACTAAAACCTACCACTTACTTATACATGTAAAAAGTTTTATGCATTGCATACAACACCTATTACTGTTAATAGACCAATATGCTGTTATTATGATTGTTGCTATTGTTGTTGTTGTTGTTTTTATTGTTTCAACAACAGTTTATTTTCCGGTTTTTTTGTTGTTAACGCCACAAAGAGCAATAACAGCAATTGCAACAACAACAACAACAACAAGAACGACAACAACAATAGCAACAATGAAAAAAAAAAGAAAAGCCAAAAAAACAAGTATGGAGCAACACATAAGCGACCAACAAACAAACCAAAGCAATTTATCCAATAAAGCAGCAAATAAAAAAAAAATGAAAGAAACAAGTAAAACAACTACTTACTCGAACCGGAAGCACTGGGTAAACTTTCGACGGAACTTGCCGAACATGCAAAAGCCTGATCGCTCATACTGCCGCGGTCGGTATTATCTTGGGAATTACTGAAATCCCTTGAAGTATCCTTTGTGGCAACAAAGTTTCGCACGCCGTTCTCATTAAATGCACCGATTTCCTTTGGTGAATTTCGCATTTCATTCGTCTGCTCGTATTCGGCCCCGTCATCACCACAGACCACCCAAATATAACATCATTGTAGCCATCCAAGCGTTTATACATACAGGGGCGAAGGGTAAGAAGGGGGCCCGGAGGCGGCGGGGGCCGCGGGGAGTGTTGATAAGCAGAGTGTAGAGCACAAGCGACCAGAGAGGTATACACGATGGTTGCAATATATCGTTGTGTTATTTTAATGAAATAGGAAAAGTTTTGTTGTTTTTGCCCGAGCACAATATAACACAAGAATTCATTAAAGACAGTCAGCAAGCAGGCGAGCAAGCAGGCGAGCAAGCAAGCAAGCAAGCAAGCAAGCCAGCGAGCAGCACGAAAAGCAGCAGCATCAACAACAGCAGCAAGTCATTCATTCAGATGTAACGATGATGCATGAAACACATAGTGGTTGGTTATAAAGTTAAAAATAACAGCATAACGCACCAGCAGCAGCAAGAGCAACACCATGCAGTTGCAGTTTTTATTATTTTTTTTTTTGTTTTTGTTTTTTGTTAGATTTCGTTTTTGGTTTTTTTTTTTTTTTTTTTTTTTTTTTGCGTTTATCGTAATTGAAAAAAAAGTTTTGAAAAAGAAAAAGAACAAGAAACACACCCAAGAGTTTACATTTAATATGACACGGAAAGATGTTCAAGTCCAGGCAACGTTAGTTTGCCTGTCAGTGCACTTACATGATGTATGGTAGCTTTTTGACTGATTGTGTTGGCTTTGTTGGTAAGAGCTGAGCATTTTTTTGATTTTAATGCCAGGCTGGGTGGCAATCCACGCGTGGCTGCTATGTCCTCATAATCGGAAGACGGGCTGGGTGACAGTGAGGGTGATTCACCGACACCACCACTTAAGGTACGATAGCGAGCTGTACAATTGTTGGTACCAATCTGTAAAATACAAATGAACAATAACAACAAACGTACCCGTAAACGCAGATTTGCTCAACTCACAGAAAAGGAAAATAAAAAAAAAAAACGACAAGAAAAAGGGAAAAACATCAACGCATTTATCTGTTGTGACATTCCGATTTTAACGTTCTGTCAAAATGTTAGCCGGCGCGCAATGCAAACACACAAACAAGAAACTTTATTCTTCATTCTCTCAAATAAATCTCATGTCACACCATATTATCATATCAGAGAAGCGGAAAGAAAAAGTATCCAACTCTTAGAGCTTTCTTACCATGTCTGTCTATCTGTCCGCGCGTCTACGTCTGCCTGCCTGCTTGCCTGCCTGCCTGCTTAACTGTTTGTGTTCCATTGGCTGCTTCTTTTGCTTTTATTAATGCCAAATACGCAGTGCGCATTAAATCGGATTAATGTCAAACAGTGATTTAAAATACACACACACATACATACACACACACACACATATATAAGTATGCATGCAATCCATAGAAACACGTAATCACGGGAAGAAAAGCACAGAACAGAAAACTTTTCTTACAATAATAATAGAAAATTGGAAAAAATGGCCAGAATCACATCCGCTATAAACAACAAAAGCATATAGCAGAGCAAATGTATGAAAAACTTTTGTTTTGTGCTACTATTACCGCCATTTTTGCTGGTGATAATGGACAAGGTGCGGCCAATGACTAAATTTCCCTCTGCTACTTCTGCTCTTGCCGCTTGATTATATTGAAAGAAAAATATTGCTGCAATAACAAAAGTTTGTTGCTTCAATATTTTCATTTTCTTATTTCTTGTGAGTGTGTGTGTGTGTGTGTGCGTGTGTTCGTTTGTGTGCACTAATGTTGTTGCTGTTACCGTTTTGTTTGCTAAAGTGCACTTAATCAATTTGGTGTGAAAAGTTGTCGACAAAAAGCGGACAGTCGGACAGACATACATAAAGACAGTCGCTGATAGACTGAAACGGCCGAACGAGCAGAAGGAAAATGAAAATAGGATTACTTATCACAAAATTTTCAGATTATTTGCACTTGTGCCGCATCAACACCTAAACTCGCTCTTAAGTGTTGATAAATTGTTATAAATCAATGTAAAGTCACGCGGTGCTAAGATTTTTTTTCACATTTCTTTAGAGAAATTTTAAAATAAATTAGGAACTAACTAAATGGGGCAAACGCTCAAGAGCGGCCATGTAATTTTCAATACTCTGTTACATGACGCTATAACAAGAAATATTTAAACATTACTTTTAATAGTCGTATAAATTACGTTCACTTTGTAAAAATTATTGTCACTGATGTAAAATGCCGTCAAGCATTTCGCTGGTCTTTTGCTTTCAGTATTAACAAACGGTTAAGATATGTCTACAGCAAAGATTAAGTCAAAAATCTGGCCCATGTTTATTGGCTAATCTTAAACCTAAAGCCATGATTTCAACACCCGGTCTACCATGCGTACAAGTCCTTGCAAATTCAATTCTCTCGCAAACAAAAATTACAAACTTCTAGCGTGTACAATGTTTGATCGCAATCTAAATTGAAATCTGCAACAAATAAGAAGAACAAGACCGAATATGTCAAAGAATTGACATATTGAACGGGAAAAGAATATGGAATTTGAGTACGCTAGACAGCGCCTTCTCTGGTTATTCTTCACTTTTCATTATACTATATATAGGACTACACCTTGTCATACCCAATTAACTTATGTACAGTGCATAACTTCCGTCAACTTACTTATGTTGAGCGCGATACATGAAAAGTTGAGGAACGGGAAAGAAGAAAATTAAATTATATTTTAAGAATAGTCGAAAGACTGGGCATGAGCTACCTAAGCGGCATGAAAGTAGAAAACTCGCAGTAAATTATGAAAGCAGTTTGCGAAATTTCGTTAAGAAACTTGCCAAGATTCGCATGATTTCTATTTTTCAGTCATATTGGCTAACGTAGAAGTCCAACATGCTCAACATAATCCAACATTATCCAACGTCAACCTTCAAAATCGGTAATCATTAAATGACATATCGACGCATGTAAATGTTTTGCTTGAGAATTTTTACTCCACCTTCGCTATGTGTTTATACCTCAACATAAACATTCAACTTTTGAATAAATAATGGCCTCGAATAAAAAGCAAAAATGAATTCATAATCAAGTTATTTCGAGATTTTAATCTTGAAGATACTTTTCACTTTAGTCTTCTTAATGTGCACCTGTCATTACAAGGACATGTATTATTATTATTATTGTTATGCTCAATTCCTTCAATCGTTCAGCAAGAGTCTTAGTCTACGTCCTCATGCATTTTCCAATGTGTTTTCAATGAAATAATATATAAAGTCGTAGGAGGCCGGCCCATAAAGCAATATAATTACGTAACGTTCTCTTCACTAATAAATTTAACGCAATATATATTTTCTTTTTGTTTTATAATTCAAAATTTTGCGATTATTGAAATATTTTAAGCTTCTAAATAAAATCCTACAGCGATATGCTTTGGTGACAAAAACAAAAAATCTTCTATTATGGAATATAAATTTAGAAATTAGTTTTAAATAGAACTTATGAAAAAACACTTACCGATACCGTACTTAGGCGGGAGGTAACACTTTGAAGGTCTGATATGGAACCAGCATAATCACCACTTTCACGATCATGAGAACTGAAAAAAAGTGGGGGAAAAAATCACAATTCATATAAAGTCTTATATAATTTAATAATTCAAATATATCATAAAATAGTATTAAAATAAATTCTCGGCGAGCTCAATTCAATGGCCAAGGATTCAAATCTCAAATGCGTTAGAGTTTTCAGAAAACGGACAGCCTTAGTCTAGAAGAGGCAGTGCTTTAAGATTTTAACTCAAGAAATTTTATTTCTCTGAGTAATTTTAATAATCATAATAACAATAACAATATTAGATTACAAAAAAAAAAAATAAAAAAAAATAAAAAAATAAAGAATAAAAGGAATTGAAATTTTTATTAAATTTAAATAGAATAACAATTTGAACCTTTTCGCTTATAGCGAGCAAGAGGTAACATTTCATATGATGATCTCGTTTACCTTCCTTTTTCTCTCTCTTTTTATTTTTTCTTTTATAGGTACTTTTCACTTCAACAGTTCTAAATAATCTCTATTTGTACACTTTTTGTAATATTTGTTTTCTAAAGAACCATACATCGCTGGTTAAATGTATCAAAGGATTAACTGGAGATTTCAATAATCTCTAAAAATTACTTTAGAAATTCAAGTGAAAATGAAAATATTTTATATAATAACAATTATACACACACACACACCATATACCATATACCATAGTCAACCACACACACACACACACACACACACACACACACACACACACACACACAATTGCTATTGTATACGTTATCTATTGCAAACAGTTGGGGTTTTGACCACTTAATATTTTCAATCTCTCTCAATAAGTATTCTCGTCGCAAGTGTTTGGCTTGCTCCAAAAAGTATACTATAATAACGTTTAAAAAAAAAAAAAAAACATAAAACAGATACAATAGCGAAACTAATAATAATAAGGAAAAAAGCATTGGAAAAGTCATCAATTTGAACTTACTACACATATGTGCTCAATGCGTTACATATCTATATGTACATACATACACGCAAGATATGTATATATATAGAGAGAGAGAGACAGATAGAGGGAGAGAGAGAAATACACGTGCATATATTTATATTTACATGAATGGGTAGATTGTTATATATATAAAAAGAAAACTAATGAGATACTGACATGACTTTGGCAAAGAATTTAAGGGTTTCAACAATCACTAGTCGAGACGAGTCTAGAAAATGTTAAAATTTTCTACCCATATACACATACCTACAAATTCCTACATATTATACGTATACATTTTAATGGTATATGGTACATATATGTATACGTATATATATATATATACATATATATATATATGCATTAATATGTTTATATATTATATTGAAGGTGTGCAGAATAGTGTTTGCTTATTGTAAAGTAAAAGTTTATTTGTTTTGTGGTGTTTGATAATGGCGTTGCGGTGGACAGAGGTTTTCAGTAGTGGTCATTGTTGGGCACGTACGCATTCCGACTGACACAGTCCGAGTGAGTCAGAGTAAATATTTAATACACTAATATGATGCACACGTACACATATGCACGCATACGCAAGCCACACAACCATTTGAATTTAAAATACTTTAAGCTTTCTATGAAACTCATGTCCAGCATACGAACATTTCTACCGAGTCTAAGCATCCCTACCTATATGTGCAAATGTTTAAATTTATGATTGTGCTTGTAAATTTACATACATCCTGTATACGTAAACACATTCATGCATACACTAACATGAAATGTATAAATGTATATATATATATATATATATATACATATGTAAATGTGCGTGTGCATCTCTGAATACATATGGTACTAGAAGAAATCGTTCTCAATATCAATAATTACAAAATACTTATATAAAATATGTTTGAATTTTTAAATTTTAATTTAATTTTCATTTTCATTAAAAATCTTATTTAGTTGCATTTTAGAAAAATGTTTTCCTAATTGAATTGTTATTACAAGCTAACAAAACAGCTTTGCTGAAATCACAAAACATAAAAATTAGAAAAATGCATAACTCATTCAGGAGAGCAATTTTTCATTTTAAATAAAGTAAGGATGAATGAAGTGAAGGATGCATGTGTGTAAACATATGAACAATATTCGTTTTTTTTTTTTTTGTGCAATTTTTTTTTTTGGCAAACCAAATTGAAAATTTCATTTTTAATTAAAATCATTTCAAAAAAATTTCATCACGAATTCTGTAACGAAAATCCAAGTCCAAATTACTATACAAATTCCTTATCGATTCCCTTGCGATTCTCCTAGTTATTGGTACTCTCCAAAACACTAAAGTAGAAATTGAAAAAATTATTTTGCTCTTATTCCCGAGCGACGAAGTTTGAAAACTTGGTATAATCTTGAGTCCAAATTTCAAAAATGTTTAATATACAATATCTCTTAAGAACAGACAGATGTTGGTTGGTCGTTCACTGCTTATATCAATTGTTGATTATTTACGCTTTAAATTTGTACTTTTAGTGTCTTCCAGTTTTCAAGTTCACATCAGCCTTAAAAAAAAAATTTTGGGAGAAAAGATTTAAATATTTTGAATCTGAAACTTAACTTCGTATCAACTCCGAATAAAATGCTTAAGAGAAATTCGATCTTTGAATGCCTGAGTTCAATCCTTTTATGTAAAGATTTTATAATATCTTAGGTTTTTTCGCTGGCTTAGAAATTTGTTATGATATTTGTTTGCCAGATCAAATCATTATATCATTTTCGAATACAGATGGCATATAAGCCATTTAGTGAATAAAGTCTCATATGACCTAAAAACCTTATGCAAGAATGCTTCGTTTTATAGTTTCTAAAAAATAGTGAAAAAATCACCCGATATATATAATTTGAAGGAGATTTTCTTTAACAGAAACGTACAACTGCGCTTAAAGAATGAGAAAAGAGCCTTAAAATATGAAACAAACCCTTGATATGATAATCACAAGACAGGGACACAGAGAGGAACATGTGAAGCTAGATATCGTTTTAAGCATAAATTCGTCGTTTTTAAGCATCAATTTCGTATTTCTCGGAGTGTGCCTTCAACGCGTAAAGTAAATGTAATGTATATTCCTATGAAAAGCGTGGGAATAAAAAAAAAGACAATTAAACTTTAATCGTTAGACAAATTCTCGAAGACCCCCGATTTCCAGAACTATTTACATTTATCGAGCGGTACGATTTCCTTCCAATTAAAATAACATAAGTATGCTTAGAATTTCCAAAACAGAAATCGATTGATTTCAAGTCCATAAAAACATACTATTATTCCCCATGCTATTGCATCGTTATTGGGAAACCCTTCTCAGGGGAAAAATTGATATCTGTTCAAATTAAAAATTCCTCACTTGGGCAACTTCTAAGATGTCAAATAGATTTTTTTTTTGTCAAATTTATAAATTAACAGTCGCACGTGTTGTCAGAGTTTGTGCGTTGACAATCAAAGACGCAGCCATCTTGAAGCTGAGAATTTTTCAGAAATTTTTAAATCTAGTCATATAAATCAAGAACAAACGCAAAAACTATATAATTTTAATGCAATCTTCAAAGAAAATCATAATTTTGTTGCACATATAACTATACGCGTAGAAAATAATTGCAATGCTGTCATCTAACAATGAAAATTCTGGCAGTCATGCGGCTCAACAAGGGCCATCGGATCAGCCAAGCGGCAGCCAGATACAAGTCGATGCTTTAAGCGAAGAGAGAGCTGGAATTAGTGCAGGCGCTTCCCTAAGTGTCAACAATTCGAGTAGCTCTAATGCCAGAGTTGGAGATGGAAAAGAGTCAACAGGTACAAAATCGCGTGCGCGACCACCAATCGACACACTTGAAGAACGTATAGTGGCCGTATTGCGTTGTGAGATTTGCTTCGATTTACGTAGAACCTCAATGTATCTATGCAAAGAGGGTCACTCAATATGCGCTCCCTGTCTTACAGACCTATCGGCCGAAGCCCGAATATATCGTGTGCCGCCTAAATGCCTATGCTGCGAAACGGATATATCTGTTACGGTACGAAACATCGCTGTTGAGAAAGCAATACAGGAGCTATCAAGTGATTGTCAATATTGCAATGAAAAATTGCCTTATAAGTTATTGGATAATCATGAGCGTTACGAATGCAACGCATATCCGATAATGTGTAAAAATGGCCGCTTTGGATGCAATTGGCAGGGGCCACGTAATCAACTCACTGAGCATGAATCTAATTGCGAGCTGTTACGTAGAACATGTCAGGATATTGTTACAAACTTGGAAACATTAGAATCGAAACACGAGGCACAAAGGAACTTATTCAGGAATGTTGCTGACTTATTAAATTACGAGATGATAGCATTTACAGATTTGCAATTCAGACCCTGTTATATCGAGAATGATCTTTTTTATGAGACGAAAGTATTTCTTGTCTTTGGCAGAATATGGATGGTGCGGGCAAGAATTGATTTTCGTGACGATCCCAATCGCTCCGGTATAAATTCCATTCTCTATCAATTGATATTAAGGACCGAAACTGATATATCGCTGCAAATACAATTCGTCGCACTTAAAGGTCCCTACTCCAATTTTCAGATTTCTCCGCAAATATATAAATATGACTTTAATGCTAATAACCTTGAAAGCAATTATGGCATTTTACCTTTGGAGGACGGCAACGACTACGCTCAATTCATGGCTAGCAGAGATATTAACTTTCGTATTGCGATGTTCTTATCAAACTAATAAAAAAAAAAAACAAAAAAAAAAAACTTTCAATTATTTGAATTTCTTTTTTTTCTTAAAGAAAGAATTATATGCTTTGAAAACTCTGACTAGTTTTCTAAAAAATTAAAAAATATTTTCGAAATAATAAAATGCTGTTTTGCAAATGTAACTGAAAAACAAAGCATTTTTTCCTTAATTCTTTACGAATTTTTTTCTTTTAAATTATGCTCGAGCAGTGCCCGGAAAACTTTTATATCCATCACGGTTATCCGTGACTTAACTAAAAAAAAAAAAAAAAAAAAAAAAAACGAAAAAATAAATATACATAATTACTCCATAAGGTGGTGTATAATTTAATGGACCAGTGAAGAAGTAGAAATTTTTACGTCTATATATGTAGCTTATGCGTAATGAGTAAAAAACACGGAAACTGAAGATGTTTTTAGTTTTTGCTGAATTGTAACAAAATCGAGCTTTCTTTCTGAAGACATTGACAATGGGCATGGCAAAATGGAACATATACGATAATGGACTGTGAAAAAATTATAATCCAAGATAGATAAAATGGTGGAGCCAGGTTTTTATTGGCACGTGAGGCAATGTTAAATGTCTGTTGGTTTTGGAATGCAAGCATACATAAATCGTGAACTGCTCCAACCTGGCCATGCAATTTGCTTTCTACTGCCAACTGGTAATTCGATTAAAGTGTGCAACATATGTAAGAAGGAATTGTATCCTGTATTGTCTTCTCGCAAGACACAACCTGCCTAGGAATTTTTGATGTATAAATTCGAATCAAATTTTTTTTTTGTTTTCTTTGAGAGAGAAAAATGATAAAAAGACTATCAAACAAAATGCTATAAGTTTCGCTTAGTTATGTTTTCATTTAAAGTATAAAAAAAAAAAAAAAAAAAAAAAACGAAATTTTTCCTTGATCTTGTTATTAACTTATGTATTATTTATTAATTTGGTTTTGCATACATACCGTGCATGTGTTAGTGGTATTATTGTCGGTGGATTTGGTGGCTGTTGAGGTACAATAAGTCCACGCCTAGGTGGTCCTCGTTGCGGCAAAGATATATCACCAGCTGATCTTAAAGAAATCACTCCCGTACTTTCACGATTCGAAGTGAAACGTACACGACCACCCTTTTAAAAGCAAAAAGAGACAAAAGAAGAAGAAGAAGAAGAAGAAAAAAAAAAAATGTGAAAAATAATTCATTTTTTGGAAAATTACTTAGTTTTATCTTAAAACAACGTAAAATAAATTTTAGATCTTTTTTTAGTTTGTCTTTTTTTTTTTTGTTTTTTTGTGTTAGGGAAATTTTAAACCCTCGAGATATTAGCGCATTACTTTACTTAAATACGTTTGGCGCCCTAAGAAGCATTCATTCAGTAAAATAACATTAACATTATTTACATTAATGGGAACAATTCCAACCAGCGAACTATAGGAAATAAGAAAGAAAAACCGGAAAAATGAGGAAACATTTTATACTCTTATGTCACATATTAACAAATATCAACAAAATGAGAGTGGCTCCGTTTTCCACGAGGAAAGCAAAAAAAAAAAATTGGAATTTGCCAAAAAATACTTGAAAAAGACAAACAAACATACATGTAAACATATAGACACGGTTTACATTTTCATACATTCCTAAGCAAGTACTTAAGTCACTCGTGAAGACATCAGTAGAGAGCAAGCAGTGATGTCGGCGGCACAAGCAAGCAGACAAATAGGGTAAACAACCAAAAAAAAAGAAAAAGAAAACATCGAAGACGACATCGTTACATATGAAAACTCGTCAGGAGACGATGACGACGATAACGACGTTGAACGAAAAAATGGGCTGACTGGTTGGTTTTTCTTATTTGTGCTTGCTTGCTTGCTTCCTTGCTTGCTTGCTTGCTTACTGGCATTAAAGTCAATTGTGTAGGAAGAGTTATTGCAACCATATATATATACACACACACACACACTTAAAAAAAAAAATCCATCTACTCCCGCCCATCTACTCCTACTTGCTTCAACATATTTGCCAAAAATTTTATATGATAGCATAACAGTTAAATGCGGTTCAATTGCTTTACACACATTTCGTTAAATTGTGTAAGTGCATGATGTGGTGTGTATAAATATATACGGTTTGTGTTCATACGTCTCATTTGACAGAAATAAAGAAAACAGAGGAAATCATAAAAATCCATTTTAATTTTTATAGTACATGCAGTAAAAATGAAAAAAAAAAAAATTCATTTTTTTTTTTTTTGTTTTTTTTTTATTCCCCCACAAAATGTAAGAATATCGAGAATATATATATATATATATATATATATATATATATATATAGTTCGCCTCATTCCTATTGAATCTTTTTAAAAAGCTGACGCCTGTTGTTATATATGTGTATGTTTTTTTCGATTTTTAATGAATTTTATTTCATTGAATTGCAATAAATGGAATCAAATGAAAAATTGTCGAAAAGAAGAGGGGAGGGGGGATGGAGTGGAAAAAAAAAAAAACTTCATTAATAATGTCAACGAAAGTAATGTACATACATATGAACGAGCAAATGAATGAAAAATAAATGAATGACTGCGGGAATATCGGTTTTTGTTTTTTTTTTTTCTGTCATTATAAATATTTAGTTTATGGTTATTGCGGCGACATCATAACGTTATAGAAAAACGCAAATCAGTTTATTATACGCAGTTGTCAAATGCAAAATGCAAAAATTTAAAATTAAAATTATATAATTTTTTTTTTTTTTTTTTTTTATTTTCCTTCTACGAAAATGTGTGTGTGTGTTGGAAAATAAACACAATGTTCAGTGCAGATAGTATGTATTTTATTTATATTTTTCTAAATGAGTTCAAAACAAAATGTTTTTTTTTTTTTTTTTTTTTTTTTTTGTATAACGCATTAATTAATTTCATTTTTTTTTTTTTTTTGTTGCTACACAAATTTTTATATGATAATTACCTGTATTGTGGCAGCTGGTCCACAATTCATGCCAGACATTAGAAAGTCATCGGGATCACTTTCATAGGGTGGCTCATCGTACCAATGACCCTGAGGATGTATACCACTAACCGCGTAATGCGGTCCTCGTATAGCATCGTCGTACATATAAGTATCGTCTATATTAGAAAAAAATAAAAAATCGATGATAGCTTAGTTTACATACCAGATAGATAAGGGAAGAAAAACGGAAAGCAGATTGAGAAAAACTTACCAATTTTGCCTTCACGGCTCATTTGTAATAAACCCTGGCGTATGTCGCGTAGAATCTATTAAAAAAAAAAAATATTGAAAAAAAATTCATTACAAGCTTAGCGTTACTCGCAAAATCTTTGAAATTGTGTATCAATAAAAACGGCGGCGACGTATTAGTAACAAAAACAGATGTCAGAAAAGCAAAGTGTTTAACGATCAAAGTTAAAAATTTATCAAAGCATTTATCTAGAATGACGTTTCGGTGATTTCTTCTAAAAAACTATGAGACGCGAACTTAATGAGATTTTTTTAGAAATTCACTGCATAGGATCGAAGAGAACAATAATCATTTCGTTTTGCTTTATACATGTTGTGCTTTGAAAAACTCTTGATCAAGCTTAGTCGGATATGTACAGAGATCCTTCTGGATATATTCTTTTTTATTACTAGGAATATACCTCCTTTACGCCTAACAAGCTAGGAATCAGGGAAAAGAGATAGAAAATAGCTGAAGGCTAATAGGTGTAAGCATCGTGGCTTTGCCGTGTGGATATCTCACAATAGCTATAACCAAGGTGAGGTTTGAGCATGTCAACACTGTCTTGGCAGCTGTTATAAGACGCAATATGAAATCTGGCATTGATAAATGGAATCACAGCTCTTGCGGTCACAATAGGAATTTATCTATTTATCCTTGACGAAAATTTAGCATAAGCATGGTGAACATGAAATGGGGCTTCGAAACAAGACTTGTATCTTTCTCCGACCATTAATTTTATTATCTATTGTTGTTTCATTGGCTATTCAATTTACATCGATTATGAAACGTTTGTCAATATTCATATTAAGTTCACTCAGTTCATCGAATTATTAGTCCGTTTAGCAGTACAGTTTTACTGATATATTTTATATTTCCCAGAATTAATCGCTTCGCAATAATTGCGCTAATCGAAGTTTTAAGATGAAAGTCTTATTATTATTCATACTTGCAGACGGAGAGAGACCCTCTTAATATAATGTTTACTTGTGGTAGAGACAATCTTCCCATATACTAATCATATGGCCATAAATTCATTTTTCTGCCACTATTTGTCCTTATTTGATTTTTAATATTTTAGGTGGCAGTTGCAGTGATCGATATCTCGTAAAGCATCGATCAAAAAATTACATAATTACACTGTTTTTTGCTTGGTTCGTTCAGTTTTGAAGTACAGGGTTTTATAGGGTGTATTCGGTTATTCTTTGATATAAGCAGAAATGCAAGCCTGTTGGTTGAAATTCTAAATCGTATTTAAAGTGCCAATACTGTGACAGCCTGTGCCGCATTTCTTCCTCTTTACTGTTTGATATCTGCATATAGTAAAATGTAAAAGGACTTGCTCGGCAATTTATTATAAAAATTTTCTAAAAAAACGTAATAAAATTGTTATTAAAGCGCCATTGAACAAAGCAATTGAAAGTTGAATAGATATAGAAAATCATTTTCTGCTGCTACCAAATTCATTGTATTAAAAAATGTAAACAATGAATTTTATGACTTTTCTCTACTTTTGGTTTCGCGAAGCTAATCAGTTTGGCAAGTGGAAGGCGGCATTCCTATCTCAAGTGATGTCATCGCAAAATACTAAAGCTTCAAATTTATTGCCTTGAAGAGAAATTTATGAACGGGTGTCCGGCCAAGAGACAGACTTAAACCCCTTATTGTAATAAACGAGTTTCTGAATGTTCCATGCATCCATCTAAACTCAATACATCCTTAGCATAACCGATGGAGAATGTAAACAGAATACTGATGTATTTACTTTAAGTTGCTATTTTGCTATTTTATTATGAATGAATTGATAGATTGATTGGAATCTTTACATGCGACCGATTGAAGCATAAAACCTTAACTTATTTTTATTAGTTTTCCTTTCCTGGAAATTATACAACGAAGTTACCGCTACTATGCCTTATCGCGTATCATATGAAATCGTCTCAGTCTTCATATGAAATGATAGTAGCGAACAAGCAAAAGAAAAAAAAAAAAAAAAAACAGAAATTTTACCGTTTTACTTAAGGCAGATCGTTTATGTGACTGCTTGAAGGCATTTTCTGATTCTAGTTTGTTTATAGCGCTCTGCATGCACTTTACGTACATTTGAATTTTCTAAAAAAAAAAAAAATATTTTAAAATAGTGCTTTTATGTTTATATCGTCTCTCGTAACGTAACGTAAACTTATTATATTCCTTTATAAGCATTGTATGGTTGTTTAAATTGAATTTTCACAATATCAACAACTTAAGTCTTTAAATTAAAAGTTTACACTTTAATCCTTGAATATATCCTACGGATATTCTGCCAAATATTCTTTTATAATATTTGTGCCAAGTTTTAGTTTTTTTTTTTTCTAATTTTTTTTTTTTTTTTTTTTTTTTTTTTTCTTTCCTTTAGGAATTACATTTTTTAGTGTCGGTTTTTTGTTTTTTTGTTTTTTTACTTCTTTTCTGTGGTAAACGTTGAGCAAAACAAACTTCAATGAATGGACAAGTAGAACAGCATAAGAGATTTCCTATGTCACTGCCCTTAGTTTATTTGTAGATAAATACAGTTAACCTATTTTCCTAGTTGTTATTATTATTATTTTTTATTTTCGGTATTTTCCATACACTTGTACTTACTTACACAGCATTAAGAATATTTACGAGAAATTGCAAAAAAAAAAAAATAAATAAATAAATAAAAAAATAGTTTGAAAAACGAACAAGAAATTAAGCCTACGTACAGAGATGATCGAATTCTTAAACCCCTTACTATGAAAAAAAAAAAAAAGAAAAAGAAACTACGAATTTTTAATAAGCTTTAAAATTACTGAACCAAAAGTAGGCGAAAATTACAATTTGAAAAACTTATGACCTGACGTAACGATTAAACGTATTATCTGTCGGAGTAGATGATGAAGAGATTGTGCCAGGTGCAGATAGTAATCTGTAATTCTACAAATAAGCTTTTAATTATCTCTATTTACATGTACACTCTAGATAGTAATACGCATATGGTGCATAAGTGATAGTTTAAGGCAAGCCTTTCGATTTTTCACACACATTCAAATAAGCTGTTTTGCTCTTTCACTAATGAATTACGCCACACACACACACACACACATACACACACAGGGAAAAGTGTCTTCAATTTTACATATTCTGGTATGTTATCGCTTCTTGAAGGAATTGTTCGTAAAAGCAAAAGTCTATTATTTAAAACTCAAAACAACATTATTTCTGCTTTGATATCCCTCTATGCATCTCTTTCTAGCTCTTTGTTTACATAGCGCAAACAAATCTAAGTTTTAGCTCTTAAATAGATCGCCAGTATAAATCGCGCCAGTGGTCTCGTGTTTCACTAGCAAGGCAGAGTCTGTTCTTCGATACTTAAGTTTTGTCACAAGTTTTAAGCAGGCTATGTCCTCTACACTACTTCGATAAGCAATTTCTTGTACGTATGGGTGTATAAAGTAGGAAAAGATCTGTAAGAACACACCTTAGCTCCTACGAAAGGTGGCTACAACGATTTCAGTAAGCAAATGTTTCAGTATTATAATCCTTAATACGAGTTTTTTGTAAGTTATAAGTACGAGGGATGTAATTAAATTTGTGCATGTCGCGCTAGCGGCTCATGTGGTAGATATATATATATATTCAAACATATTTTTGCTTTGTTATATAGCTTGTGGCCATTTATTAACATCAACAAGTCACTAGACAAAAAAAAAAAAGAAAAAATCAAGAAACAAATAAACAGAAGATGCATGCAATCGCTAAAACTGTCTGATTCATAAGTTGAAATTATTTAAGAGGCAGCAGAAAGATTCTTAGTTTTCAAGATTATCAAGTTACATTGATTCTTAGGCGTTATAAGCTCCTGCCTACTTTTTGCTTTATGTGCTGTTTTATAGACTTAATAAGAAGAAATCTATTACCTTATAAACTTAAATGTTACCTAAGATGACTTTTCTCTCAACGCCTATTGACTCTACTGCTCTAACGGATACACTCATAAGAGCGATCTTAAAAGCGATAATACTATCAGCAATAAAAAATTCATTAAAACTCGATTGTAAAATTAATTAAAGTCAATCCGAGATTTCTGTGCGTTAAACAGCGCCTTTTTGTCACATCACATTATCGCTTGAGGCTTCTTAGGGACTTTTTCAAGTCCCCATCTGTCTATGCGTGCCGAAAATTAAAGCCAAACGACTGAATCTACAGAACCTTTTGGATATCAGCTCTGATCGTTTAAGAGATCGCTTAGAACGATAAAGACTTACTTAAAGATTAGCATGTTAAGATATATATATATATAAATGTAGGATCAACTGAAAGTTATCTTGAAAATATATTGACTCTCAACATAGTAGATTGCATTTTGGGGATCAGGTGAACAGATAGTGTTTAAATGACTATTAAGGCCTCCAAGTACAATTCTAAGACAATATTAAAGAGTTCGAGTGATACTACAAATGTGTTCAGTTTCCATTTTGTTAATGGTTAACATCAGAAGAAGCAATCATGGTACGAATATCACCGATAAAGTGGATCACACAGAATAAATACTTTTATTAAGTGAATTGCATTGCTGTTCTTAGTTCTCAAATTCTAATTATCCTCCAAATGACATGAATTTTCATATGCATGGCATGACGAATGAACGCACAAACGGAACGATGTAGCATAATTGACTTTTAATTCTACGCTAGACAAGAATATATGTTATTACATAACATTTTAGAATTTTGGGCTTTTACGGGCGAATTGTTATCAAGTTTGTTGGTGAGTAACAAGATGGAAATGGAATGGCGAGCATTGTAGTAGCAGAAGCAAAAACAATCTAAATAACTAAATCTCTTAAGAAAAAGTAGAGAAATTCCGAATAGAATAAATCTGGAGCATTCTTCAGAATTAAGTGCCTAAAGTAAAAGCGGTTTTCAACAATTTGCAATCCAATGCAAAAAAAAAACTTTTTGGGATGAAACCTAACAACAAACAAAACAATCTCTAATGTTGCAAATGGTAGATTACGGTGTAAAAACCGTT